TAAATTCCTTGTAAATTATATTATGTTTTGTGAGTTAAACGTTCAACATGAATAACAACAACAGATACGCCACGTACGCAGGTACATTTCGCAGGTACATTTTATTTGTTTACATTTTATTTGTTTTTGTTTCTTTATTGCAATTACTCTTGCTCTAACACATTATACAAGTACTGAATACAATCTTACTTTCAAAACAAAACAAAATTTTCAAAATTAAGCAACATTTTTAAAACAAAAAAAAAAACAAAACATAATACGTTCTTTTGAATTTACGGGAGTCCATCGGGGGAGGTAACCCACGGTTGCTAACGATATCTTCCCGGTTTAAATGAGTTTCACAACTCGTTTAAATTAAGTAAGTTCAAAAGAAAATAGTGATACCAGAACGAGGGAACCGTGAGATCCTAACCGGTGTCGCTCTAATCAAATTGAACCCTCCCCAATGACAACCAAACTGAGACATTGAAACACACCTGGTACAACCTTTGAACCTTAGACTTTAGGACTGCTGCGTTGACAAGGAATTTGGAGCAACTTCGTGGGCAGCGCAGCAACTTCGTGGGCAGCGCGACTGGGCAGCGCGACAAAGAGTTTGGAGCAAACTACAAGTGGAGGTGGTCGTCATTCTACAACAGCAAAACAATTCTTCGCTAGTTAAACTTTCCTAATTTAAACAACCCATAGGGCTTCGAGGTAGCTCGCCTAACGCGACGTAATTTCTCACCCTCTTTTAGGCCCCTGTACTACCATGTTGTGTAGCGTAAATCCTAACTTGCCTTAGGTTTCGAGGTTGTCGCCCAGAACGACGTAAGACCTCTTACTCCTGCGGGCTATTTGCATATCCATTTATTATGCAAATGCAAGTCTCAAATAATAAAATTGACGAGATTCAACATTCAAATAAAATCCTCTCTAAAACACAGCCACACAGTAGGATAGTTTGGGAGGTCATTGAGGATTTCCCTCTGGATCTGTGACATCCCTTACCCTTATTTTCTTTGGGCTCTTGAAAGGATTGTTCTTACTTGAGCCATTCTCACTTATTTTTTTCGCGTCTTACCTTGAAAAGCTGAACTTTGAATTCTTGAAGACTAAAACCACTGATTATTATCGAGAGTTTTTTCAAGTGACGGGACTTGGGATGTAATTAACTATAGGGGCTTGCCGCTATAAGAAACTTGGAATCCAGGTAAAATAAACCATATTTAATCATTGTATTAAATAAGAGAATTTGTCGGTTACATATAAAAGGTCCGCAGACCAAATGTATGTCACAAATCGCTTAGTTTGCAGGATTGGGTCTATTACCGAAATCTATATTTTTCTCTTGAAATGTGTAGTATTCAGGGTGCCAGACATGATTATGCAAATTATTGGACTAATTAGATCCATTCGGTCTCATTTAAAAAAAATAAAATAAAACACTACTTTCATAATCTAAACTATATACCTTTTACCTTATAAATTAAATTAAATTTTTCACATCGAAAAGATGACCGATAACTGCCAATCCATCCTAGACAAGTGTCATGTACAGGTAATAAGAACGAATCAAACAACATTTTAAGAGAGCATCTAAATTCTGAAGATTAATTATTATGGAACATAAATGATTACACAGCAGCATATTGATTGTTCGTGCAAGAAAATTAAAACATATAAATCAAATAATCCCACCCTAAAATGGAAAAAAACAAGCCAAAAAATAATAAAACCACAGAATCAAATGTCCATAAAAAAACGTAAATATTGGACGCGAAGATCGGTGGCATCTTCACGAATATTTGCCTGCGTGTCGGATCCTTCAATAACTTCAAAGAGTTCAGATAGAACGACGTATTCGCCCTAATATCAGGATATGTATGTAGAACTCGAAGAAAGTTGTCTATGGTGCTGTCATTTGAAGGACTAAGTTGACCTCTGCATACTTCTATCAATTTATTTATTGAGCTTATGTATCCTTCCTTTTTCCTTAATACAAAGGTTGCAACATATGATTGTGACTTCCCTATCCCACGTTGCTTACGAAGCCATTTTTTTGGTCTTAACCATAACGGTACTAATAAATGAATGAAGCATGAAAGGTAATGATAAAGCTAATAAAACAAATAACATGACAAAGAAGAAAGTGCCAAGAAAAACAAAAAACTTCAACTAAAAAAATAAAAACAAAAACCGAAAAACAAAATTGGGAAACAAAAACATGAAATCACCCCCATCACATCTCTATCACAACCCCCACATAGCCTCAACACAATCTCCAGAGAGCCATCACAACCAACCATCATCACAGCCATATCCACAAGGGCCCTTCCAACAAGAGCCCTTTCACCCCACACAACCACACCCAAGTTCAACCACAATACACAACAACACCCTAGCTCGAAGATGTACTGCAGGCACCACAGCAGGACAACCCCAAAACCAGTTGCAGAGAAGAAAATACCAAAAGAAAACCATGCCACCTCTGTGAAACAGAAAGAAACAACAATACCAAACAAAGACCCGCACCCCCATCAAAAAAACAACAGTAGCACAGGCTGCAAGAAACCAACAACAAAAAGGAAAGCCCCTTCATATTATAAAATAAAATTGAAGCAATGAATTCTAGGAGAAGGCCTATCCGACATGACCACATATAACAACCTCCACAATTCTAGAGAGGAGGTTTGAGCCCATCAGTAGTTAGTAAAGTCAGTCATGGCCAACCAAAGGGCAAGCCTAACCCCCTTATTATAAATAAAACTTCTCTCCATATTAGTGTTCCAAGTCTTATGCCAAATTGATGAAACAAAACGACTCAATAAGCTGAAAATGAGGTAAAAGTGCAACAATAGTAACCTCAAAAATCAAATACCCATGCTCAAAGTAGCAGAACTACCCCAATTCAGGCAACAATATACAAGCATCATAAAAGAAAACCCTGTCCTAACAGTGAGTGAAAAGAATCAGTGCATCATAACAGATAAGACATATCCAAAATGTCCCCACCAATTACACTCCTCAACTCCACAACCACAACACACACAACCACAACAACCACATGTTCTTGAGACGAAAAAGTAATAAGTTAACACAATGATCACCGCCAACAAAGGTACCAAGAGGTTCATACAAGATGGAAAACAAGAGAATGAAGCATCATTTAAATTTTTCTCTAATGCAACTAGCTGTAATTCTCTATCACAAGCATCATTAAAATTCGAAGTGTCAATTCTAGCTACCATTTAGCATCTACTGGTGATGCATCAATATATCAAAAAACTTTGCGAAGGCCACCAACCACAAGATCTCCTCAACAGCTACTCAGAAATCCGATAATTCAAAAATGATACATATAGATTCCAATCATATAGAAGATGGAAGCTTTCTAAATCCTTAGCTAAAGTATCATATGAAGTTCCCTCAGCTTATCAGATCAACAGTTTGAAATCCATTTAGAATATCGCAAAAAACAAATCACAAATTTCAAATAGATAAAAAATCACACAAGGAAAGCCAAAAATCTCGGGCAATAATATGTAAAATCTCGCAAAAAATTTCAACACAGAGAGCAAAAAATAGCATGTGGAAAGCCACGATTCCATTGACAACCGCATGATTACACAGAGCCAAAAATTTCAGGAACTTACAGAGAAACATAACCGAAGCACCGAGTGAGAAGGGAGAGGAGAAGGGCAATGCTAAGGGCGAGAGGGGCGCGGGTGAGGGAGATCGATCGCAGAGCTAGGGCAAGGAGAGGGATGCAGAATTGAGATCGAAAGGGCAGCGGGGTAATAATCTGTAATGAAACACGCGTCGCGGGGTCAATACTGCTACCACGTTCATTTGAAAATAACTCGCGTCTCGCCCGCGTGTTTTCGATTCCGCCCATTGAACACAATTACCAAATAATCCTTCAGCGTTTTGAAAACGCGATACATATAAATAAGCTGCTCCAAATGGATCCTTAGTATGAGATTTATGACTGTTATCTTTGTTGTAAAAGGCGTTTACGGGGCATACGCTCTAGCACTCGGAGCGCAATTTGTGCCTCATGGGGCGTACTCGCCATCTATTAATCAAATACAAAGGAAAAAAAAGGCCCTAATTCTTCATACTTACTCAATCCACTCTGATTTAAGATCTTCCACGCAGTCGATCTCCCGCATCCTTTGCTTCCTCCCGCACGCAGAGTCACAAAATTACCCACCGACGTTTGCTTCGTTCCTTCCGCAGCAGGTGATCGCTCCGTCTACTTCGTTCCGAACGAAGGAGCATTTGCTTCATTTGCTTCAACGTGCACGCAGGTGATCCTGCCTTGAGGCTTTTGCTTCGTCCCTCTCGGCTTCTTCACGCAGAGGTGATCCTCCCAGCTTCCTCTCTAGCAGACTAGTAGATCATGCTCGCATCCTCAGCCGCAGTTTTTTCTTTCTTGCATCCGCGCTCTCCCGCAGGCTCAGCCTGATTCATTTGGTTAGAGGTTTATACTGTTTTATATTTTTTATTAGTTCAGTAATTTCACTGTAGCTACAATAAACCACAAAATTTTTTTTCCATATTTGTAATTTGCTATTGGTAGATTTTAATTTTTTTTTATTATGCACAAATAGTTTATTTTTTTCTCTTAATATTTATATTTCTTTTTTTTTTTATACTGTGAGATTTACGCCTCGCCTCATAACAACTAAAATCCCCTGCCCAATGCTCATGCCTTTTAAAATATTGCTGGTTATTAACATTACATTCACCGTTACCTTTTCTCAAATTGGCTTTTGATTGTTAAGGGACTTTTTATGTCGCATCATTTTTGGAGACTTTCTTGCAGTCCTTTGAGTTACACTATGGTTGACAGTAAAGCTGAACTTTTGGGTTAGTTTTGCTTCCAAGTAGAGAAATTATTGTTTATATAATTTTTTTTGTGACGATGAACATGGATCTTTACTCTTTATGTTGAAGGATCTTAGTGAAGGCACATTTATGACTTTTTATTTCTATTTTTTTATTTTTATGAGCAGGCAGATACTACAGAAACTGCAAATGACTTTGTTGGTTCTAAGGCACCAGAATTGGCAGGTCTGTTTTGGAGAATTTACTCATCTCGTTTGATACACATTCAAACTGTCATGTATATTTAATCATATATTATTTTGTTCAATTTGATAGAGCATGATGTGTCCTTCACATTGAACCTTTTACCAAATGGATACTTCATTGGAAAGCCATCCGAGGTATGCTTACAAATCGATATTTACTAACCTCTTAGCAAAATTTTATCTTGCTCTCTACATTTCTAGATATATTGAATGGAGAATATATAATATTTCTATGAGCAAGATCTTAATGCAGATAGGCTTTTTTCAGGTGGGAAATTTTCAGCCTTTGCTGCAAGATGTGAAGTCACTGCATCCATATGATAGGGCTTCAAAACCTCTTTTTACTGTGAGTTTCAAGAGTAAACATATGATCCCCTACTTAATGTGCATCTAGTTATCCTATAACTCTTGAAACCATTGCTGTATTTTTTTTGAACGTACCAGTTTAAGCTCATATTTTTTAATTCACGGAACAAAGAAGAAACAAATCTCTTTCTATTTAATTTGATTCGTCCCACTGCTGAAATTTTCATAGAAATTCAAAGTCACCATTTTTCTCTATATGAGAATAGTGTACCGAAAGTTTGTTTTTTGTTGTTGTTTTTAATCTCTCAACAGGTATTAATGGTTGTTTTCTCAGTTAGTGTTCTTAAATTGGCTCTCTTAATAGGAATATGTGGTTTTTTTTGCTGTCAAGTGTTTTTTTTTATATATTTGTTTATGTATATCTCTCAACTGGAAATCATGGCCAAGTTGCACTAATAAATCCAGCTCATAATAGTTACTTTAAGGCTAATATTTTGACGTATTACTGTATGTGGTGGCATATTAATAAGATCTAAATGTCTGCTATCATCGAAAATGCAAGTTAGGTGCAATGAGGCTAGCGCATTAGCAAAATTGGTCACTTTTTTTTTTGTACTTGTAGTAATTTTGAGTTTGATATTAGAGCTTCAGGTTTTGTCAACATGTTGGTCGAAAGTTGAATTCAATATCAGTTACTTTGACAATTCAGGTTTAATTATTAAATAAACAATGTTAATTGTATGATAATATTATTTAATATGGTTAAAACACATTTTAAGAAATTGAAAATCATTTATTTTTATATATGTTAAATCGAAATGGATTCAATTATAATGATGAATTAAATCAGCTGTGTCAGTATTGGGAGAAGACAAGGAAATAATCATGATAAATATTGCAGGGTGTCTAATAACGAGGTTTATGGAAATCATATGTGCAAAAATTTTTAATTAGATGATGGCATAACCAAAAAGATTAAAATTGAAGTGTTTATTTTTGAATGTAAATTTGCTGCTAATATTTTTCTGACTTAGTAATGGATTTCACCAATTGACAAGCTATATGTAATAAAGTACAAGTGAATTTGCAAAGTTGAAATTAAAATATTCCGAAAGAATATGAGAAATAAGAAGAAAGGTTTGGAAGAGAAGTATTTTCTGCATTGTCTAAAATAGAGGGATGTTAAAGACGCTGATGTTCTGCTTTAGATTCTTATTTTGCTTGATGATATGAAAGAATTGCTATTTGATTTTCAAGGCATTTACCTTTGATGTGCTTCCTAAAAAAATATTAATATCACTATATAATGAATCCAACTGTATATGAAAAGCTTAAGAGATTAATTCATAATTTGTTGAAAGGTGGTGTATGAGGGAGCATAGGAATTTCTTTTGCTGTTTCAGGATTGCTTACACTTATGAATAATGGAATTTGGTGTATTTGTTGAAGTAATAGAGCATCAATAAAATTGCTATAAAATGGTTTTATAATATCTCATTTGGTTGAGACGTTTGATTTGATTAATTTTTTGTGAGATTTTCTAAAATTGATTTGAGAAGTAACTATCATCAAGTGAGGATGAGAGAATGCGATGAATATCAAATTGCTTTCATGATAGAGGATGAATTATATGAATCCTTTATGACATCTTTTGGATCAATTAATGAACATAGTACCGAATATTCATGATATTTAGAGTTTTTATTATTAGATTATATTTTTTGGGAAATGATTCATTATATAGTTTGTTGGCCGTGCCTTTATTGTAATCACAGAGAGACTTATCAATTCATACATGCTTAAATTATCTTATTCTAATAAGTTATCTGCGATTTCTTGTGATACCTATAGTGTAGATATTGGTGTAGTGCTAAGCAAAATGGGACAATCCTATTGCATTCTTTAGTGAGATTTTAATGATGCAAAATCTGAATAATAAAACCAAGACAGGGAGTTACGCTGTTTAAAATCTTCATTACTTGGGTATTACTTGGTTAAATAATTTATGCTTTATCACCTAGAATTAATGGACAAACTGAGGTATAAAATAATAATTTAATTTTTTTGTTTTGTTGTCTGTCAAAATGACACGACGCGACCCTAAACCGGGAGCTTTGAATTACCAAGGTGAAAACTATGAGTCGGGCGGAGAAAAATTATATAGCAGTTTCATTTCATAATTAAAATGGAATTCCAAAAAAAAAAATCATTCTATTTATAAAATTTAAAGTTACAACCTGTTCACATAGATTTTTAAATATTTAAAGCTAACAAAATAAAAACTAATATATAATAACTATCAGCCAACACTCATCGGCATCTGTACACACTCTCTTTGATTCATTTAACATAAAAACTAATTTTCCTCTAAAATGTTAATAATCGAAGGTCTTAGACTATGTAGGATTCATTTAACTTGAAAACTAGTTTTCCCGTAAAATGTTAACAACTTAGTGGACAAATATTTTTAAATTATAATAATTCATTTTTTAAAACTATTTTGTAGAAGTGCAACAAACAGTGAATGACAATATGTAGTAAAAGACCAATAAAAAAATAACATTATATTTTAATTTATTTCTGTTACACATTTTATTATTGGGAGTCACTGTCTAAATGTATACTTTTAAAAAAATATGTTTAATATTTTCCAAACCATCATAAATGTTAACAAATATTTTTTTTTCTATTTTTCATTTTCTTTTTCGTGTATGGGTGCATTGCATTCCCCTTCTAGTACCATCAAGGGTGACTTCATATGCATGCATATATCTTATTTTTATTCTTTTATTGCATAGAACATTAAAAAAAATGAACTTTTAAATATTAAAAGAAAGACTGAAAACAATAAATACAGATGTAATTGCTTTAAAAATAAATAAAACTATTATAAAATAAAAACATTTTTACTCACATGTGCAGTCTATAGTCTGAAGTTTGTTATTCTTTTTCTCGAGTGAAACTAGATTTTTGGTTGCACTATAGGAGCAATTTGAATTTAATCAGTTTCTATTGTTTATCATTTCTAATGTAAATATATATATTCTTCACTTATATTCTAAATCTAAATAAATTTGCCACCTTTCATAAATGTCAAGTTATTTAATATATTAGTATAATTATAAAAGGATGTATCAGACACGTTTAGGTTAGAACTAACTTAATTATATTTTAATTTTTTGGGTTATTAACTTTTAATGTAACTTAAAGTTAATTATTTAATAAGTTATAGATTAAGTAATAAAATGGTCAATTTTTAAGGCCGGGGACAAGGGTGAGGAAGAGTTAACTAAACTATTGAACGGAGCGGTCCGATCATCAACATTGACTTGGAAGACAACTTTGAGGAAGAAGAAACAAAGAAGACTGCAATGACGGTGCATTAGAAAAAACCTTAGCTAGAGATCTCTCTGGAGGACACAGATCAATGTACGAAAGGATCAACCACTATGTACAAGCCATGACCATAACCCCAATTCATCCTCATAAAGTCAAGGGTTTGAAGGTCAAGGAAATACAAAGTGCAGGCATGAAATCAATAAAATTTTATCGATGTTCTTCTTCTTCTAATCCTTAAAGCATTGCAAAATTAGAAGATGAAACTTCAAATGAATTAATGGAATTATCTTTTGGCTACTACTTTTCATATGTTCAAAAACTTTTTTAGCATGGTTCAGTGCCTGGTCAGTTATCGAAAGAAAGGTTACGCATCTTCGAGGAATTATGGAACTCTAAAAATTGGAATTTTATCTCGAAAGAGGGGGTTGGATTCAACATAGTAGGGCTGATCAATGATATAAAATTTTGCTTGATTGTTACTAGCGAAGCAGAAGACGAGTTCCTTGAAGCCGAATAAAATTTAGAAGACTCTCAGATTGAGGATGCTCCGCCAGACTTTGAAGAAGAGATCAAGTCAACCGTTGATGAATTATGGGAAGTCAATCTAGGGACTAAAGATGACCCTAGCCTACTTTCATCAGCTCATTATTAGACGACAGAGAATCTTCAGTGCTAATCAAGGTTGTATCAGACACATTTGGGTTAGGAATAACTAATTAACACAAAATAAAATCTTGCTTTTCTTTGTTCTCCTCGACTTTGTACTAAAACATAATTTCACAACATTCAGAATTTTAGTCTTAAGTTTATAAATTTTCTTCATTTCTATTTCATTATTTATTAAACATAAAAACTTTAACTTTCAGTTTCGATGCTATTATCAAAATGACTTAGAACTCGCATTAATTCCTCATTCACCTTTTTTATTTTTGCGAACCGAGGATGCAGAGGCTTGGTAGCGCCTTCATGCATGCATGGAAAATGCTTCAATGTGTACACCTTACTTCCAAATCCTGTATAAGCTTGATCGAATGCTTCACACACGTGGAAATGGCTACTGCGGGCCGCTTGATCCTACCTCCTCCTTTTGATTAGTTAGGGCACCAAAAGCCTTAATTGGAACTCATGAGACTTTGGTTTCGTCTTTCTTCCTTTTTTCGCTTGCACGACTGATGGATCGTCGACGACACAAGAGGTAGGCTGCCGTTTGAGCCCTCCAAGTGCTCGATTGAGTGTCTCTAGATCATCGAATAGGGTTTCTTTGGCATTTCCATCCTTCTTCCTCCTTTTGCTCGGTTCACTCAGTCATAGGCGTAGGAAGTTTTGGTCGAACACTCTTGCAGCTCTATTGTAACCTCCTCTTATTCCTTTATCTTCTTTTTCTTCTTCCTTCTCTTTGACTGGGGCACAACCCCTTCTCTTGCTCTCACTTTCTCTATCTCTTTTGCGCACTTTCTTCCACCTCTCTTGTGCAATGGGTTCAGATGCACTAGGGAACAACCTCGACTTAATTCTCCCATGGGCGGTGGGATTCAATTCGAACGACACTTGCTTCGTAGATATCGTAACATGTGAAATCTTTTTTTTATCCAAGTTAATTTTATTAAAATTTTAATAGATTATTATTACACAAAATAACATGCGTTTGATTGGAATGTGATGTTTCTTTTAGCTGAGTATTCAATTCATCTATCATTATGTCCACTGATATTAGTCTATTTAAGATTGCTATATTTCAACCTAGCTTATATAACTTGTTGAATTTCCTATGCGTGATTTACATGAGGACATTTATAGAAAGTGGGCTACTAACTACAACATCTATAAACCTTCCGTTCATGTAAACATGAGATTTATAGAGTTTAAGCCAAAGGATATAGTACGGTGCATTTAAATTTAGAAATAGTTGCATTTTAGGAAGTTGAGAAATAAATGTGAAAAAACCAAAGCACTTTACAACTAATCCCCACAAACCACAAATTCTAGGGTTAATCTAGTTTTCAATGTGTGATATTATTTTATGAACCCCAATCTGTTCTTTGAAATCTTATTTTTTTTTTAATTTCCTATTGTGATTTCGCATCTAACACTGTTAGATAATTTGTTCTTGAATCTATTTTGGTTGGTGATATTGTGTCCACTGTTGATGGTGAATTATAGAGATATCTTGTGCATTGAAGTGATAGACAATGTAAAATTTATGACTGATATGCTTTGTGACTATTGGATGCTAACTTTTTTGAAGTTGAATTCTTTCAAGCCTAGTATATTTGATCGAAATTTCAATGTCAACAATTGTTGTAGCAAATTAGCAAAATTATTTTTTTTTCTTTGAAAATTTATAATTTTTGTTTCTTAGTTTATACCTTAATTTGGCTTGACCACCCATCTCTTTAGACAGTTTTGTGATGCTGTCTATATGGTTTCGATGCATTCTTATAGGATGCATTCTTATAATTTTTTTGATTCCTTAGTTTGGTTGATGTGTAGTTGGGTCGGCCACTAGGTTATTAGGTCACTGGTTTGCAAGAGAGCTCACTTATTAATTTGAGTAGTGTTCATGGGTTTAGTATTATCCTAATTTTATTCTCTGATTTCCTTGATATACAGTTTTGATCTTTGTAGTCTTTTTGTTTCGTGCCAACAAACATTCTGGGCTCTATAGCCTTTTTCATTCCTTGCTAGCAAATGGCTGTATGGATTAAAATTTTAGGGAAATTATGGTTTTTTTTGGGTTGATCCATTCTGCAGCTGAACTTGTTCACCCTTTTGTGATTTTTAGAATTGAGAGGCACCCAAAAAGAAAAATGAAGATAAAGATAATTGATTTGGGGCATGTATGACACTAGCTTTTATTAAATAAAGCTTTATATTCTAGTTTTAGTCTCATTTGCCTCATATTATGTGATCCTTTGAGCGGGGTCTAAGTGCGACAACCTCGTTCCTGTGGATTTCACTTTTTTTGCTTCAACAATCTGAATCATTCTCATAGTGGTGATCTATTTCCAAAATAATTTTTCCTTTTAATTATTATGCTAGTGGATTTGCAAGCGCTATGTGATTTTGGTCAAGGTTGAATGTTTTATTTTAGCTGCCTTGTAAAAATTCAAGTGCACTTTGAACTTCTTGTGGTTCTAATTTTTTTATGTGATTTCTTCATATTTAATTAATCATTGTTTTGTTTATTTTGTTTAAATTATCATTTTTTAGTTTCCACTACTTTTTTTTAAATATTTAGTAGTCTTGATTTTTGAATCCTAATGTTCTTTGTGCGACCCTACATTAATTGCAGTGCCATAGTTGCATGTGGAATGCTAGACTTATATATTGGATTATCAGCTTTGGCAATCTCATTTTTGGCGGGGCCAGCTGCTGCCATTTAATAACAGCACCTATACTGTTTATTCCTAATGTCATAACTGCCGCTAAAATCTTAAGAAAATCTTTGAGCACTATTAACCATGAAACTGTAGGTGGATATTAAATGTAATATCAATTTGATGACACTTCAAATATTGAAAGGGGTTCAAATACAACTAGATGCCGCATATCGACTGATGCTGGGCATCCCCAGATACAACAAATGCTGCGACCTTTGCCCCAAAGCGATTCGGTCCAGCCAAAGGAGGGATTGATGGGTCCTTCCAGGCAAGGGTTTCCCTCCTATTTGGAGTGGGGTCCACTTTTCTCTACTCTTGGTTTATAAGTATATTGTTTATATGTTATAGAGCAGTTTTCTTGTGTTTTTCGTCCGAACAGTTGTCGGCGTCTAGCTTTTCTCTTTTAGGACTGTATTTGACGTCAAGTGGTGCTTCTGCTGTAACTCATCTGAGGTGGTGATTATTCTCGACCCTCCCACATCCTCCACAACCTTCCCTTTGCAGCCACCGTCATTCTACTCATTTTAGCCACCTCATTGATTTCCTGCAGTCGTCAACCACCCAATTTCCTCCCATATTGTTGCTTCCTATAGCCTTGCCGTCAGCCTCCCTTTTCTTGCTTCGGTCTAGCTGCCAGTCACCTCCCCTTCTTGCTGCAACCCAGCCACCGACCATCTCCCTTTTTTGTTACTGCCCTTCCGCTAGCCTTCTTTTTCCTTTTCATAGCCTAGTCGCCAACCATCTCCTTCCTTGCTCCAGCCCCGCCGCCAGCCACCTCCCTACCATGTTGCTGCCTTCTCATTCCAACCATCCCATTTTCACAACTGCATCAACCCAACCACAACCTTCTTACCCTCCTCGACCTAAGACCTAATTTGGCATTTGTGTTGTGTCTTTTGTTATTTCATATTTATGTGCGTATTTATTGTAAGCCCTATTTGAGTTTAGTAATAAAAGTGCAATTCCTGCTATTTGATTAAATCTGGCCTCATCTTTCCTTACTTTCGCCAGTTTACGCATGACTGCAAGCACTAGTCACACTCATACAATTCATTTACATGAGCAAATATTATGTTAAAATCTTATATAGTTTCATTAGTTAAAACGTGATTGCAAAATTTTTTATATAGAATGCGTAAATAGTCATCTTCATCTAAAAGTAATCAAACATTTATAAATTTATATCCTATTTTCATTTATTAAGCACATGCCGGTATTATTATTTTTTTAAGGCGGTGCTTGGCTGCAACTCAGATTCACGCGAGCCACGACGTAATAAATCTGCATCGCATTCGGATTTACTAATGGTCTGTTTGGTGCGTTAGTGCGGCGGTTTGCAGTTTTGACTGTTTGGGTAAATTATGTTTTACATATCAGACCTGGCTAGGTGTGATTGCAGCTTTCTGGCTGCGGTCTGACTTTTAAAAAGAAATAAATTGTAATTGCCATCACAACTTTTTGAATAACACATTATTTTTTAGCAGTTTCACAACTGCTTTTTAATAAATTGCACCTGCCCCAAACAGACCCTAAATCCGGATTTACTTCGTAAAAGAAACGGAACATGAGAAAAAAAAGTCGAATGCGAGAAAATTTGATTTAATGAAACGTTGGATTTAATTTTCATTTTTTTTTGGTGTTTAGCTGGATTTAAGTTAAATCTATGATTAAATCCTATAAATAGCATGCTACCAAACACCACCTTAATTCTGTGGCAGTATATAATATAAAATAGATTTGTTTTTTCCCCGTAATTTTAAAACCTAATATGCCAAATGGAGTTGTTTTAACTCTTTAGAAGTGTTTTTGCTTTTTTTCTAGCTGGTTCTTTGGTTTGTGTTAGTCACCAAGCCTATACATACGTATCCAGGGAAGACATAGGAAAAGTTTGTCACTCGTGGTTGTGTAGCTCTGATCTTGCTCTATTACATTGAATTCTTTTGTAATCTTATTCATTATTTTATAGTGACTGGTAATACGCGATGTACTTTTTAGAGAGCTGCAGGCAGAAAGTCACACCCTATGATATTCTGCTATTGCACCTTTTACTATAAAATTGACTTCTTGTTGGCATGCACCGTTTGTTGGACGGTTCTTTTATCATTATGCATAAATTAGAAATTTCTCGATTACTTTTATGTGAGGATAGTTATTTTTATCTATACTTACCGTCTATTTGAATTTGAATCACTTCTTGTAGGCAATCGAGACAGGATGGCTTCCGGGAGATATTTTGGATGATTTACCCTGCAAATATATCAATGGGGCTGTCATCTGTGAGGTCAGTGAGCTATTTGAACCCACAAAAATTTGAATCGGCCATTTAGAAAGGGCTTATGCACTTCAGAACTTTGTATTACCTTTTTTCCAGCCTTTATACTTAGAAATATAAATTTGATTTAACTTTTTTCTGGGCATTTTCCAATCTTTTGTGGCATTTTTTGGCTTCAGACTCTTTGTAGGCCTGGGTAACTTTTGTTATTGGGATTGCACATTTGAATGATTTGTTTTTAGCGTCCATAATGGTTTTTAAATTCCTGCTAATATTCAAATCTTAACAGGAGGATGTACCTTGGTCTTACTGGACATCTACAGGAGGATGTACCTTGGTGTATGGTTTTTGCTGTTGATATCCTTTTCGTGGATAAGACGAGAGAAAAAGCCCAGGAAAAACTTGAAACATGGAGGTCTACATTGGAGTCTAAAGTCCTTCATTTAAGTAGAACTAAAACTGAATACATGGAATGTAATTTTAGTAGTAGTAGCTCATTGACAGAAGTGTGACTTTGGGTGATCAAATTATTAAAAGGTGTGAACGATTTAGATATCTTGGGTCCGTTGTTTAAAGCGATGGTGATATAGATGGGGATGTTAATAGTAGAATTCCAGTTGGTTGGTTGAAGTGGAGGAATGCATTGGGCCTTTTGTGTGATAGAAAAGTACCGCTTAGACTGAAAGGAAAATTTTATAAGACGATGGTGAGACCTGCAATGCTCTATGGTGCTGAATGTTGGCCTTTAAAAGAGAAGCATAATAATAAGTTAAATGTTGCTGAGATGAGAATGATTAAGTGGATGAGTGGCTTTACACTTAGAGACAATGCGAAATGAATATATCCGTGATAGGGTTGGTGCAGCTCCTTTGACAGACAAAAATAGAGAAAGTCGTCTTAGATGATTTAGTCACATCAAACGTTGACCATCTGATGATCCGATTAGGAGAGTAGATGTTTTAGATTTGACTTATGTTAAGAAAGACAGAGGTAGACCTAGGAAGACTGGGGCTTATTGTATAAAAAAATGATCTTAATTCTTAGAACTAAATAAAAATATGACACTAAATCGGACGCAATACTAAATCAAATCGGACGCAATGGAGAAAAAGGATTCATGTAGCCGACCCCATGTAGTGGGATTAAGGCTTTGTTGTTGTTGTTGTATTCAAATCTTAACATGTTTTACAGATTTGCCCACTTGTAAATATGCCAGCTGCCTTTTATTTTAACTTAATGAGTTAGGCACAAGCATTTTGACTTTTTATTTAAAAGGAATAACTTGAAGAGGCGTACTTCTAAATAAAAATTTTCACCAATTTTGGAGAATGTGAATGTTGTGGGGATGTTTTATTTGCATTCTTGCTTTGGGCAAACCATTTAGTAGGAAGTTTATTTGGGCAAACCATTGAGCAGGAGCCGCATATTGAGGTAGGTTCCTGCAATGCAACTCTTGAGTCCTTACATTTGAAGTTATCTCCTTTCACTTTTGGTGCCTAACATGCGGGGTTGAATAACAAGTATGTGAGAACTCAATTTTGGGATGAAATCTGTGGTAGGATGTGCCACTCTCACTAGCGACCACCTAGCATAGACAGCTTCTTCAGTGACAGGACCTGGATCTCATTGAAGAATTTTCATCTCTCTCAAGCTCCTAGGACACATTTAAAAGCTGAGGTTAATTCGTCCTATCCAGACGTCTGTTGATGGGCACCCTGCCGAGTTGAATCTAGCATCTGAAATACTCCACGTAATATCCCAAGTATGATACAAAATGAATCCTCTTCGATCATGCTGGACCTCTCTCCGTAGGGGCAACTCAGGGAGGGGTCTATACATTTGAAAAATCTGCAATGTTCTGATCTTTTGTGGCCTTTTATCTATCGTCGGCTCCTCAAACTGATGCCTTTTTTGGATATTCCAAGTCAGTCTGGCTGATGTTCCTCTCAAAGTTTGTAAAAGGCATCATAATCTCATACATTGTTGGATTGCCCATTACCTCAAAGTCACTAATCTCTAGAGAAGAGACTGTTGCCTCAGTTGGTATCTCTATCTCATGGTCAACTGGAATTGGTGGCGTCTCTTCTTTGTTGGCCACCAGTGGAGAATCCTCTCTGTCGTCTTCATCTTCTTCCGGACTAAACGTGCCATTGCCTAATTTTTTAACAACACCTGCTTAGTGAAATATATCTCTTTCTTGGTTGTGCATCTGATTCCACATGCCCAAATTCATGGCACTTGCCACTTTTTTTGGCTATGACAGACTTCCGGATTGGTTTCGCTAGCTAGTATCCAGAGGGGTCGCTTGGTGTTGCGGTTTCTCCATTTTGGAAGCTAGAATCTGCAAATTTTGGCGGTACTAAGTTGGGAGGAATTGACGTTGTATTTCCTGATTCATCTTTATATTTTCTCGTTCCCTATTCGGCCTTTCGGATCACGGACAGTAGCCTCCCATTGGGTTTCATCTTCCATGTCCGTAATCCACTGCTGAAATTGGCGGATCTCTCTTCGTATCTCCTCCCGTGAAGGCTTGGGTATGTATCTAAATGATGACATGGTTGGGGATTAAGGAATAGGAAAGAAGAGTTTGGGTGGGATTTGGGTTTAGGTTATGGAAAAGATATTTGGTGGTAGGAAAAAATTTTGGTTTATGGAGGATGCTAGGGAACCCTAGAATAATACTAGGATTGGGCTAGCTCTGATACCAAATGATACCGGAGAAAAAGACCCAAACTACAAGAACAATTTTTAATAGAGAAATAGGATTCCAACATACACAAATTGAAAATAACATCATCAACACATAAAACAACACAACATACACCTTGAGAGTGCATTTCAAGGGCGGTGGAGGTTACTAAATGGATCAGGGTGGCTAGCGAGGGTGGTGGCAGTGAAGGCAATATGAGAAAACTGCAGGAACAACTGGAGGACTGGCTGTCCAGTGCAACTACAACAATAATTTAGGGCAGAAACGGCAGGAACAACAAATGTTAGTTTTCCCGGGGCACCGACAACAAGGCTGGGTGGGTTGGCAGCAAAGTAGCAAAGATGCTGGCGGAATGGGGTGGCGGGAAGGTGCTGGACAACAAGGTAAACTGTTGCAAACAGAAACAAGGAATATACAATAACCGCTGGGAGAGGGATATAAGCCGGAGCACCACCTTAACTGTTGGATATAACCCTCGAGGGGGAAGAAAACTCCACTCAAAAAACCTGAAAGAAGACTACATCAAAAGCTAACCCTAAACTTAGAAATAAGCATATAAATAGACTCCAAACAAGAAAGAACAAAAAAGGAAGGAGGGTTGGCGGCATGACCGCCCTTCCTAAAATTCTCCTCGATCGAACGGGACACAAAAAGTGCATAGAGAGAGGTCCGAGAGGTCGCTCGCCCCGTCAGGGATCTTGCTTGGGATGATCGGATCAGGATTCATTTGGGCCAGTCTTCAACAGACAGGCCGAGGTTAGTGCTAGAAATCCCTCTCCCGCATCCACTCGGGGAAGCTCCACGTCACCACACAAACTTTTGTCTCCAAATTTTGCATCGATGACTTAAATGACCTAAGACCCTTACTGCTCGAAATAGTTTTTGGCGCTAGAGTGCCAGTCCACGTCAAATATCCAAGCGCTCAGTCTAGGGAGCGATCCGGCTTGGCTGCGTCTATCTTGGTGTCACTTTTTCGGATGCTATGTTTTAGGAACGATCCAAGCAGGTTTGCACTTCTTTTAGGTACTGGATTTTCTTGCGCTCTGTTCTTGGAGTGTTGTTGGCATTGGATCGCTCATACCGGTGCTGGGTCGCCCAGTGCAAGTGCTGAGTTCGATTTTTCTTTTACACAATCAATCTCTATACTTTGCAATCTCCCATTTGGAGACTGATTGCAATCACATATCCTCCAAACTTACCATTTTCATAGCTGTGTGCTGTGATGTGACTCACCTCCAATCTCAACCTTCCTGAACTCTAATTGAAGCTAACTATAACTTCACTTTCTCACCTGTAACCACCTTAGTCAACATATCTGCAGGATTCTGAGTTGTATGTATATTCTCTAAAGATAACTTATTGTCTTCTAGGAGTGAATAATTAAAGTGATATCTCAGTTGAATGTGTTTGGTCCTCACATGAAAAATGATGTTTTTAGCTAGATGAATAATACTCATGTTATCATTATGAAACATTCCAATCAGTTGCTTCTTGCCCAATTCTGCCATAAAACTTTGAAACCAAATCATTTCATTGCTAGCTTCACTGTTAGCAATATACTCCACTTTTGTAGTTGAAAGTACAATAATTTTTTGTAGCCTATAGACCCAACTCACTATTGTGTTCCCCAAATTGAAGATATAACTTATACTTTTTTTTATCATCAATATCTCTTGTTAAATCTGAATCTACATATCCTTGTAGATTAATTCCCGCCTTGTTGACTCTTCTCAAGTATCAGAGAATTCACTTCCCCGCTTCTTAATGCTGTTTTGCGGGATTACTCATATATTTCCTGAGGACTCTCACTGCATGTAATAATATCATTGCATACATCAAAATTTTAACTACTGAAGCATATACAATTATTTCCATGTGTTTGATCTGTTTCAGACTTCAACGATTGTTTCTTAAATAGCTTGAAGTGACCACCTAAGAGGGTGCAAATTTGCTTAACCTCACTGATGTTGAGCCTTTGTAGTATCTTCTGAACATATTTTGCCTGAGACAACTTCAAAGTACCTTCTCTCCTGTTCCCACTGATTCTCATTTCGAGAATCATCTTAACTGTACCTAAATTCTTCATCTCAAACTCTCTTGATAATTGTTTCTTCAAGTCTTCGATTTCCTCCATATTTGCTCCTGCTATCAACATGTCGTCCACATATAATAGAAGCACGATATAATAATTATCAAATTTTTTGTTGAAGCAACAACGATCTACTTGACAATTGATATAACCATTGTTTGCTTTAAATATGTTAAACCTCCTGTATCACTTTCTTGGCGCCTGCTTCAA